CTGGAGGTACGGCAGCTGCTGCCTGGCGTTCATGGTGCAGGAGGTGTCGCCGGAAGTGGAGGGCAGCTGTACCCAGAGCCAGCAGCGCTGAGGTTAGAGATTCTTGGCTGCCCGGTGGCCAAGTGGAAAACGGGCCTGTTGCCCTCTGCACACACACTCCGACTTCCTGGAGCCCCATGTCACCACCCCGCAGGTTCCTGGCAGTGTGTGTGCCCTTCCCAGCAGAGCCCTTGGCACTGATCTCTTCCCACTTCCGAGTCCCCTGGGGTTCTCTTCCAGCTGTCAGGGCCCTGGCTGGCTTGCAGAAAAGTGAGGCAGCCACTCCCCAGTTTGGCATGGTGAGGGATGTTCCCTCCTCATCCCCCGCCCCTCTAAATAGCCCAGCCTGAAACTTGCATGGGAGTTAGAAATCTGCTGTGGGGTGTTTGGTTCACCCGTATCAACAGCCCGTGCAAGTGCATCAGTTAGACCATTCACCTCGCAGGGCTGGACAGTCTTGGGGTGTGCAATGGGAGTCACAGGATTCCGACCTGCCTCCCTGCTCCTAAGCCGCATGACAGGTGGGTCACTTGACTCGGATCTTCACCTGTGAAATGGAGACAACCCTTGACCTTCACCTTTCTCTACTGGGCTGCTGCCGGTGGGAGCCAACCTACTTTATTATTTTTATTAAAGTTTTTGCCACACGGTGTGTGCACTCACCAGAGAGAGACAGACAGACAGAGAGAGGAAAAGTGAGAACTCACTCCTTAGGAGGGATGACCATAACACAGTCCCTTCTCCTCCATTCTCCTCTTTGGATTTTGTGCACGTATGCACACTCCCTCAGCATGTTTTTCACGGTGATGGCCTGGGACTTGAACCTGTGGTCAGCCACAGTTCAAGAGAATCCAGTGCCTATTTTATTTTTTTAAGAGAGATTTTTACTATAGGGCAAATGTGCTTGCTGGAGAAACAGAAAGCAAGAAATTGCCCCTCAAGGGGTATGGTCATGCCCCAATCCCTTCTCCTTCATTCTCCTCAGGTTTTGGACACACATGCACATGCATCTAGCATGAGTTTCAAGCTGCCACATCCGGGACTTGAACTGCAGTTGACTATGTGGGAGTCCAGTGGCATAACCATTACACCATCTGCTGGACCCAATGGAATCCAGTGCCTTTTAACCATCAGGCTGCAACAAGCTGCTTTCTACTTCAAAGAGCCAACATACTCTTTAAAGCAGCAAAGCAACTCATTGTAAACTGAAGTACATCACAAACGTGACTGTCAGGAAAGTCATGAAGCCATCTATAAGTACAACTCTTTTTTTTTTTTTCTCTTTTCTTTTTTTGGAGAGGTTTTTTGCTATAGGGCTCATGCCCTCGCCGGAAAGAAAGCCAGAAAGCGAGAAATCACCCCCCATGGGGGATGGCCACGCCGCAATCCCTTCTCCTCCATTCTCCTCTCGGGATCTTGGGCACGCACACACAGGTGCCCAGTGTGAGTTTAAGTCGCCTAGCCCGGGACTCGAACCATGGTCGACTACGGGGGAGTCCAGCGACATAGCCATTACGCTAACTGCTGTTCCCTAAGTGCAACTCCTTTTAGGGAGGGAATATAGGGAAGTGTGCTGGGCTGGTAAGGGGTTGCAGGAGGTGCCCCAGGACCTAAATTAGGACCACAGTAGGGAAGAGGAAGGACATCATCAAGGAAAACTTCTCTTCCCAGCAATTGCACCGGGGCTCAGCCTCACCAGACCTGGTAGAGTAGAGGCCAAGGACCCCACATGTTAACAAGTTCCAGGAGGCACTGAGGACTCACTTTGTCATAAATGCTCATGAACTTGGCCAATGAGTCATCTGTTCAGTGAAACCTCCTAGATGCAGCCTCCTGACAACCTCCAGGTCAGTGACAGTGGCTCCATTTCCATGAGGTGGTGGCTGCCCTTCACTGGCGAAGCTGGAAGCCACCCCGGCAGTGGAGATCACATGTATCCAGCTGCTCCACTAGCTGGTAGACAGTTTATATTATATTTTTTTCTTATAAAACAAATATTCATTGGAGAAAAAAATTAAGTGAAGAAATAATCCATAAGTTTATGCCTAAAGATAACCACCATCTGGTCTTTCATGCAGGTTAGAAGAGGCTATGCTGAGGTGAACAACCCCACAACCCAAGGGCTAGCACTCCCCACTGAGTTCACTCCACCTTTGCTCTTTTTGTGTCCTGGCTCTTAAAGGCAATTGAGATTGCAAACCTTGAATTTTTTTTTAATCATTAAGTATGATATTTAAGTTGCTTTAAGTAGAGAATCTTTATCACAATAAGCACAATGCTCCTTTCTATATATACAGTTTTTAGTTGCCAGAGGCTGCGTGACAGAGGAGAGAGGGAAA